TCCCTCGGGCTGCCTGGAAGTCTGGCGCTGCCCAAGGGCCGGGGGGCACCCGGAGCCCCCCGGAGGCGTCCTTTCCTCGGGCGATCGCCTCCCTAACGCGGTAGCCGAGGCCTCGCCCTCGGGGGGGACCCATCTGTCCTGGCCGTCGGCTTTCCGCTGGGTTCGCAGGTCCACGGGCAGTTCTCCGGCCATATTCCTGGATCCTCGCCCAGAAGAGAAAGATCGAGGCTGATGGAGGAGGAGGAGGCTGGGCCACCAGGTGGAAGTTCTCCAGGTGAGGAAGAGGTCACCCTTTCCTCGGTGCTGTCTGAGCCAGGGCCAGTCACCCTCGATTCCTCATTTTGGCAGCCTCCAAGTCACTTTCTCCTCCTCCTCTTCCTTCGGCAGAGGGCAGGATCGCCACCCCAAAATTCCCGAGTTTCTGAGAATGGCACAAGGCAGGTAGCCCCGTGGAGGGGATTCGAACCCTTGCCACCCCCACGAGGAGCTAGCCCGCTTCCCACCACGTGATCACACCTGCCTTCTTGCCTCACAGGGCGTGGAGAGAGGGTGGGGTGTCATCCTTTTCTGGGGAACCCGTCAAAACCCCGTCCTTTCCAAGAGCATCAGCAGGAAGTGAAGGAGGAGGAGGGTGCAGGGGAAATTGCACCAAGCACCCCTCGGCTGGCTGGCTGCCCCCCCCACTCCCCACTCCACCCGCTTTCCCCCGGCTCCTTCTTTGCTGGGCTCAGATTCTTAAGAAAGGAGTCACCGCCGGCCGCGCTCCGCCCGGTCTCCCGGCGTCTTCCTTTGCCAAATCATCTTCTAGCTTCCTCGCCTTCTCTTTCGGTCGAAGGAGAAGCTCTTTGCAGACAATCGGGAAAGGAAAAAACAACAACCACAAAAAACTCCCTCTCCCCCAAAAAACGGAAAAAAACCCCGAAACAAACAACAGCAAAAAAGCCGAAATAATCAAAATCAAAACAACAACAACAAAAAGCCCACGAGGGGGAAAAAAAGCGAAGCACAAGCCTAGGGAAAAAACAAACAAAAACAAAACTCACCTCCCCCAAACTTAAATCAATATAAAACCCACGCAGATCTGGGGAGGGGGGGTCAGCAGCGACCTCAGTGCCCCGCGAGCGCCCGCGAGTGAATCCTGGGTAGCGGCGGTGACACCCCGCTTCGCCCACCCTTCGCGGTGGAGGAAGGAAGTCGGGACTTCCCCGTCTGCTCAGCTGAATGGTAGGGACTTTCACAGAAGGCTCTTACCGGCCTCCCCTCCCCGGGGGAGTTCCGCCTCCAAGCCCGCCTCCTCCTGGCAGCCTGCCCCTGATGCGCCTCCCTGCCCGCCGCCAAAAGGGGAGTCCCGCGCCGTGCGCCCAGGGCGCATCGCCAACGGTGCCAGGTGCGCCCAGGGCGCGTCGCCAGCTCCCGGGTCAGGCTGGCGAGGGAGACGCAGGGGGAGCGGGCGGGATCGCCGCCGAATTAACCGTGCGGATCCTCAGCCTGCAACCGCTGAGATACCCCTTTCTCCCTCTTTGCCTCTCCTTGGCATATAAGCTCCTCTCCTATGAAGCTGCAGGGTGGTGAGGGGGGGAAAGCCGCACCTGTTGAAATTCTGCCTGTTAA